CCAAAGCTACTGTACCGTCCCGTACCATATATTATTCTTGGAAAGAAGGGCACATCATGGGAGAGTTGATCAACAATACACATGAACAAGGACTTGTTCATTCTAAAACCGCGTCGAAATATATTAGGAGGGTATATTGCATCTTCACTGAAATAATCGCTCCATAAGCGGTTGTGGCCTTCTTCGCGTTCTCTTTCAATATATGGTCATTTCTTCTTTGGCTTGGTTGCTGCATCAAGAATGGCATCGAACATATTGTCGAATTTTTGATCGAAGACTTCATCAAAACTTCAAGGGGGAGACTAGCCTCATTACTTTTTAGTGGGCGACAGGCGCACCTAACCTTCATCAAGTGATCCGTCGAAAACATTGTTTGAAGATGATGCCATTTTTTGTGAATTTATTTTTGTTTGATTGAGAAACAAGGGAAGAGTTGGAGTTTGGTTGAGAAATAAAAGAAGAGAAGAGGTGCACTTTTTTTATGGAGAAATAAAAGAAGAGAAGTGTTGGAGTTTTTTTTTATTGAGAAATAAAAGAACACATTCTAAACACATATATAGAAAATAAATGATCGATATCTTTACAACACATATGTGGTTTACAATACTCAAGAATTTTTGTGGTGTACAATCTTCAAAATTTTGTGGTTTACAATTCTACAAAACATAACAAAAATAGACCCTCCACAAAACAAACAAATACCTTTGACCTCCAAAAACAAAACAAAACAAAACCAAAATGGAAAACTCGTGATCTGTATTGCTCTGTGTATTCTATATTTGGCCTTGACCTTTTTTGTGCCTCCAGCTGGTCCTTGATTAGCTCATACAAAAAGAACAACGAAACCCATATCAAAAAGTAGCAAAGAAGCAAAGCACAACAAAACCCATCTAAGAAATGGAACTAAAGACACAAAGCAAAGCACAACAAAACCTATATAAGAAATGGAACCAAATACACGAACCAAATAAACATAACTTACATATCTTTTTGAAGGCAACAATGTCACAGCTCTGACCAAATAAACAATACCTATATATCTTGTTGAAGGAAACAATTTCACATCTCTGGAGTTGCTCGTTGAGAGGTCTAGCTGACAAAGAACAACCAAAACCCATATCGGAAATCCAAGACCGAGGTAAAGCATTAACAAGAGCAAACAAACAAACTTCAAAGGATCAATGTTCATGTATCTATAAACCAAACTATCATAGCATAAATCCATCATTCAGTTAACCAAGAAACAGCTTACATCAAAGTTCATACAAAACAAATAATAGTTATTACACATAAAACACTAGAAAGAGATGACTAATTATGACAACATGTCACTAATTAGCTTGTTCTTTAGAGCCATTTCTATATCAGAAAGTGGTTCTGTTTTTGCAAGGACACTCTCAAGCAATTTATTCTTAGAAAGCTTCTCTTTCATTTCCAAGTCCTTTTTTTATTTCCCACATGCTCTTTAACTCCAACAGAGCCTTGCCTTCTTCTTACCAGTATTTGTATGCATTCCATTCCTTCTAGCTTTAGCAGCCTTTGATTCCTTAATACCAGGCGGACGAGCATATGAAACATCCTCTCCATGGTTTTCTTGTTGGGAGCCTCAAGACTGTGCTGAACCCTCCTCAACCTTTCTTCGTTTAACCTTTCCACCATCTTTAACAAAGCCGTTGAACACCATTTCTGGTCATGGCAAGGCACCCTCCATGCATGCTCAAGTGTGAGCTTAACCAGGTGATCATTGAAGAAGATTTCATGAGCTGCTTTCATTAAATCATTCTCATTCTGGCCGCTTGATTGCTCCTTCATTGCAGCCTCATAGCATCCAAAAAACTTGTCAATTAACCTCCCCCACTGCTGCTTGCAGTGACTCACCTCTCTAGCTTGCAGACCAACCAGCTGAGGACTTGAGTTAAAATATTTTGTTATTTAAACAGTGATAATGGAGATTTTAATATCATTTTGGTTTTTTTTTTGTTAATAGAGATTTCTTTAATTTTTAATTTATTTTCTTAACCATAATATTAGAATTATGAAGCTTTTTTTTAATTTACAATTTTGATATATATGAATAACATTGAATTTTTAAATGCTGATTTGAATTCCTTGAAAATAATATAGCTTTAACTAATACTAATAATAGAATAAGTTTAAATTAAAAAAAATCTATATTGTTTTGTATTAACAATGTAATTTAATAATTTAGAAACTTTTTTAATTTTACTTATTGATGGGGACTAATAAAATTGACCTTATAAATCTTATGTGGATGTCCTTAGAAGCATATAGCTTCAACTTTTATTTTTCTATAAATCTATTTTTCGTTAACAATATAATTTTAAAATTTGGAAATTTTCTTAATTTTAAATATTGATGTGGACCAATATATTTGAAATTTTAAATAATATGTGGACATTCTTATAGACCTATAGCTTTAACTTTTATTAGTAATAGATTTAGAAATTAAATCTGGAAGATCCCACACGAGATCCATTGCATCTTATTTTGAGGCTTGCCAAATGTATTCGGATGTTGCTTGGTCAGCTAACTGTTACATTTGTGGTTCATGTTGGGTTGTTAAAACCCCATTAGATACCATGTTATTTCAAAAATCTTTCTTGGATACCTTAATCTCTTTTGTCTTAATGATGTAATCTTTTTCTCTATTTTCAGTGCTTCGTTTTTCAGATTGCTTAGAATCTATCATTCTTCTCAAATTCAGTGGTCAAGCTCTGGAAATTTTATGATTTTTTTTTCAATATTAAAGCGGCTTGTAGTGGCTCGTTTATATCTCTTTTCATTATATTATTTATAATTTAACTAATAGTTAAATATATAGTTTAGTCAAGTTGGTTTTTTTTTTTGGATTACCAGGAGGTTCTGGGCCGAAACCCGTAATCCCTCCAGGTTCGAAACCACAGCATGTACAGTAATATTAGTTTCATCCCAAGAGCCATTCGAACCAGCGACCTCTAGACTTTGTAATTCCTTAGTGAAACCTAACTCTATTTTCTTAAAAAAAAATAGTTGCACACACAGAAAAAAACTTAAAATTTAATATAGTTATGTGAGAAAAATTTGGATGCTAATGTAAGAGTCTCTAAATATGTGTGTATACATCTAATTTAAATTTTAAATTTCCTATTTTAATAGTTTTATTTTATTTTTTCTTATTACTAATTTTATATAATTTTTTCTCTTTAATAAATTTTTAAAAACAATAATAGAATTTGGAAACTTTTTAATTTTCAATTTTGAGGTGATATAAAAATTATATATAATTTCTTTATTCAGACAATAATATTAGAATTTGTAAAGATTTTAATTTCTTTATTCAGTAATAATATTAGAATTTATTAGAATTTGTAAACTTTTTTGATTTTGAATGTTGATGTGGACCAATAAAATTGAACTTTTAAATCCCATGTGGACACTATTAGAAAAATTTAGCTTCAACTTTTATTAGTATATAAGATATATAAGCGATTATGATTAAAGTGTTGTTAGCAATCAATAACCAGCATTCATCAAAAGAGCTTCAACAATTTAACCTACTCTAAACTACCAAGCATTGATAACAAAGAGTCTTCACCTAACAAACACCTAACAAGCATTTATCATAAAGCATATCTAACAGATCATTACAGCCAACTATTCAGCTAACTATGTAAGCTAACAAATAGTTAGGAATATGAATTACCTTGCTTCATTGCTTTTAAGTAATCGGCGGGATCTTGTATGAGCATCGTTCGTTGTTTCTCCATTTTACCTAACAAAAAAAGAGAAAACAAAACAAATTTTTAAACAACAAAGCAAAACATTTTAAAACACTCATTATTAAGTTTTTACTAACCAAACCATTTTCTTGTTCAATGTTGAAAAGAATCTTGAAACCGTTTTCACTTTCCTTATGAGGCTGTTCTTGTTCCAATTGGGTCTCGTTCTTTTTGAGCCCTTGGATTTTTCCGTGGACGCTTCCGGAAGTTTGAAACTAGTCTAGACGAGCTCTAGAACTGAGGAACAGCTTATGTTTCCTCAGCAAGCTTCTCAGTTTCCAATGGAGCATCAGGGTTTGAAGACATTTAACCTCAAATCATCCCAAGTGTTATCCGTCCTGCGTTTACATAGCTCTGTTACATATTCCATATTCCGGTTTTTGGTATATATGCATGAACATAAGACATACATAGACAATGGTACAAACATAGATGCAAAATGCTAAAAGAAGAGAAGACACATTCTGAAACTAAAGACTTGAAATGGTGAGTATAATATATATTGGAGTCTATCAAGAGGAGCAACACCAAGATCATAACATTTCCTCTATGCATTTCCTGCAAACTGTTCCCAAAATATTCAAGTCCTAATCCATATTATAAAGGCACAACAATGGCAACGTTTTCATTAGCTTTAATACTGATGGAAAACAAAGAGTACATAACTTCATAACATAGACTAAAAAAAACCTAAAACATTTTTGTCTTAGTACATAACTTCATAAGGAACATTACTAAAACATATAGAATAGCTGCAACTCATTTCTTCTACTTAAACATATATGAAATGGCTGCAAAAATAAAAAGAAAACACAGCAGCAAATAGCCTTCACCTTGGTTAGCATTTTGCTCCTTCAGCCTTGAAACTTCTCCTTGAAGCAGTCTTACCTCTTCCTTTATTTCTCCAATGGTGGGATCAAATGCTTGAAGTCTGTCAAGCCTAAGCAGCTTCTCCCTTTGCTCTTCAAGCTTTCTCTGCACGATTGAGAATTGTTCTATCACACCCTCATCCCACCATTTCCATATATGCTCTCCACTCGCCTACATACATAGGTTAGTTTTATCAAACAATTTCAAACAAAAAAAAACCTTCAGTCATCGACAATAATGGGTTCAACTTACCTCTTTAAACCAGTCAGGACGGGTATAGTACTTGCGGTCAGGAGTCTCTATCTCTTCACCTGTCGACGATTCAAGCTTCATCTGCCGACCACAGAAACATTTCTCAGGAATGCCAAAATTTGCATCCGCATATGCCCACCACAAGTCCATTCTGGTCCTTCAGATAATGTCTCGCTGTAGCTAATCCGCATTATCTGTCCATAATCAAATCTTTATCAAACAAAACTCCTTCAATCACACTAAACTCATAACTCATTCACATTACAATTCGACAAAAACTACAATCGCGACCACAATGAAAGGATGACGAGAATCAAACCAAACTGAACTATGAAAGAAATGATGAAGAGAATCAACTAAGCAACTACAATCGCAACTAAATTCCCAATTTCAAAATCTCTATTAAAAATTTCAAATTCACAATTGATATTTAAAAATTCGTAAAATATCACTAACCAGGAATAAAGGAAGTCGAAATTGGTTGATCTTTTCTTCTGGAATCACAACTCTTCTCTCCACTAATTCTTCTCTTCAGGAATCGCAAATCCACTCTTTCAAACCCTAAAAAAAAATCATCGGCCAAAAAGAAAAATGGTCAAAAGAAAGTGGTCGAGAGGAGAGAGAGTTTCCACAAAAATAAACATATGGCTAATCAAATGCGGACACGTGACCTTTAGAACTGATCCTTAGAATCCTTATTTAAAGAACTGTTCTTAACAAAATGGGTTTTTTTCTTTTTTTGTTAGTACCAGTTTGCCTATGTTTTTCGGCCAAGAACCTCTCTCGAACCCATGTTGGAGGTGGTTTAAGAACATTAAGTTGAGAAGCTGATCGACTTGAAAAAAAATGATGATAAGGATTCCTTTGTTTTCCAGAGCTTTGTTTTAAAAAATGATGATAAGGATTCCATCACTAAAAGTATTTCAGGTATTAAGTTGAGAAGCTGATCGGCATGTATTCGTTTGTTTTAAAAGAATTTTTATTAGTTATTCTTTATTGCCGTTTTGTTTGATTTTTGAACAAGAAAATGAAAAACAAAATGGACGTAGCTCCCATATCATAGATGAACTGCTACAATCGTATGAGCATTTATTTTATGATCAGATTTTAAGATTCAAATCGTGTGATTACACTCCTTATGCTTTGTTGGAACAATTTTTGTAAAGTTTGTGGGCTTTATACAAATGTATATGTGAATTGAAATGAAGCCTTTGGACTAAATGAAAGCTTTATGAATTGGCTACCTTAAATGAGGAGACATGTCATTTGTCCCACATTGGTAGTTTGGAAAATTTTGTAATGATATAAACAAGGACTAAGTTATATCATTGTTAAAAGTGAGATGGAGAAGAGAAAAGACCACACGCGCGCCCCCGACGCAGCCTAACCTTGTTGTGGCAAGTCGGTGAAACTTGATCAACAAAGCCAAACCCTAACTCTCTCCTTCACTATAAATAGACTCGCGTCTCTTGAGAGAAAGGCATATACTCACACCCAAAAAACTTAAAGCAAAAGTTTCTTGAATTTTCTATTGCTAAAAGTAAGTCTTCGAGAGTATCGTAGTTTTTAGTTCGATAGATCTGTTATCGAGTGACGCGATAATAGATTCAACGTTTGTATCCTGCGGCTCTTAAATCGATATTTCTCACTGCACTACGGGTAATTCTTTTAAGTTACGGAAAGAAAGAAAGTTATCTCGCCTTCATTAATTCGTTTATGTAATTGTTTTTTATCGGTTTTAAATTCTCCTTTCTTATAACATTTACTTCAATATTTGCGATTAAATCGCTATATTATTTTGTACCAATTTTTTGTCCAACTGTCCAACATGCTTTCCATGCATTCTTTTTTTTCCCATGCATTCTTTTTTATTTCATGCATTCTTGTTTCCATGAGGTAAATAGATGGATGTAAGTGGGAAAAGTCGAGTTCTCTGATTTTGTTTCTATTTCGCTGAAGGGTAATGCGAAATTATAACAAGCCAAAACTGTCATTGATGATAGATTTAAACATTGAAAAACAAAATTCAACAACAGAAAGAAAAAGAAAAACAGAACACCAAAACAATGGTTAGAAATTAATCATCTCTTCCTTGAACTTGGCCATTGCATCCCTAGGAAGCGTTAGCAGCACTCGAACGCCACCGCTCATCCCTGTATCCACCTTTGGCGCCGGCAATAAAACACAGAGAAATGGCATTGTCACCCGAACCAAAGGTATAATGTTTACTAAACCATCGTATTGCATACCGATTTGCCGCCAATCCGAGACTGATATCGACCCTTTGTTCATCATGCCCATAATTTGGTCTATAGTACCTTCTTGAAAATAGTACCATCCTAATCCCGCGAATAAATCTGTATCTTTTCAAGAGCCATCAATATAACACCACCAACCTTCGTATCACGGAGGTATTGAGTAGACCGTAGAAATACCCAAAGTTGTGTGGGTTGAAACTTGTTCAGACCCTTGAGTATCTTCCCATAATATTTCCTCTGTTTCTGCTATCTTTAATGTAATTTGTGGGTCTACATCCAAATACACTTTCTTATTTCGTGTCTTCCAAATATACCATGCTATCCATGGAAATTAAGTATTTTTCATCGCTTTAGTAAGTCTCTAGAAAAGATTATCAAAATTTGAATAAACCGAAGTCATTGGAAAAACACCATGTGGTGTTGGTATCTGAGATAATGCCCAAGTTTGTAAAACAAGGGAGCATTCGAAAGAACATGATTTATGGTTTCATTCTCCGTTCCACATTGTGCACATAATGTATTGCATTGTATTCCTGAGGGCGTAATCTATCTGACACTGAAAGACATCCAGATATTTCTTGCAGATAAAATGTGACTCCTTACTCTTCGGCAGGAAAGTGAAAAAAATGTGTAATTTTGGAGAGCATTTTAATTTCTAAGCATATGTCTGGAGTGCCTTCATATCTGGTCCATATAACTCATCTGAAATTCCATATGATGATTGGTGCTCAATTTTGTATCTTGATTTAACTGTATATCTTCCCGATTTTGTGAAATGTCATCCCAATTAATCTGGCTTATAAGAGATACTAATGAGAATTCCACGGATAATTTCCACATCAGTTGGTTCAATAATTGCCTTAATCAATTCTAAATTCCACTTCTTTGTCACTGGGTCAATCAGATGATTAACCATAAGATTCAAGTAATAATTGATTCCCTTACAAGTGGCTTATCTCGGACGAGAAGAAGGTATCCAAGGATCATTCCAAACTGAAATAGAACATCTCGAATCTACTCTTTTGATTAGTCATTTATTAACCAGATATCTAGCCAAGATTATGCTCTGCCAACCATAGGATGGAGAGTATGATTGTACTGGGTCCAAGGGACTTGTGTTTCGAAAGTATCATCCCTTAAAAACCCGTGCAAACAGTGAATCAGGTCTATCAATCAGCCGTCATAATTGTTTTGCCAATAAAGCACCTCTCGTTAACCCATTCCCCCTTCCGTCTTATCTTTATCCATTTTCTTCCATGTTATCCAGTGCATACCTCTTTGTTGCCCATCAGAGCTCCACCAATACCGTGCCGCTACACTAGTAAGTCTGGCCGTTGTGGATTTTGGTAACCGAAAACATGACATGACAAAAGTGGGCATTGTGGATGCCACTGATTTAATTAAAACTTATTTGCCCTCTTTCCATAATAACCTCAAAGTCCAGTGATGGGCTTGCAGGCCTAGGGTTGTTTTTCAACAAGCCCGTTGGTCCTCCAAAAATTTTAAATTTATAAAACCCTAGTATCTGCAAGTGCACAGATGTACGTTATAGGACTTATGGTGTCGATCTACAGGGAGGATGTCTAATCTGCGAAAAACAACAAACTGGGAAGTAAGCAAACTCATAAACTAATAAAAGTTTTGGAGTTTTGGTTGAGATCCTAAACTAAACCTGATCTAATATTCACAAGAAATGCAATGGAGGATGAATTGTTAAAAGAAACATTTAAAGCATATCGACTCAAACTAAAGACTCTTAAACTTATAGGTGGCGATTTAGACTTCTCCGGTTTACTCTAATCGATGTATGATGGCATTTCCAATTAGCTTTCGAGCGATTTATCTTCATCTGTTTCTGGGAATCTGCATTGAACTGGAATAGACATATGTATGATTAACCAACTGTCGTCACCTTTATCAACTAATCTCTTAGATCTAGCAATTAACTCTCGCTCTCATGCTAAACTTAAGATCATGCATTAGACATTGAATTCGTCTGCTCACATCTTCTCTATAGGTAGTTCTCGATAGTGACTGTGTTCTTCTGAAGCTAGGTATGAATGATTTGATACAGCACTCTCGTGGCTCTGATCAATCCTAGGCTCAGAGAATAGGTCATGAATCTACTCTCATGCTTTATGAACAACTTAGAAGAGATGAGATCCAGAATATGGCTAAGAACAATAGAAATCCTAATCGATATATATGCTTGTCGATATCTTCAAACAACTTGACTCTCTGGGACTAATCTACATGATGCAATGAATGATAAAAGACATAGAAGAATGCAAAAGAATGAAACAGAAAAGTTAAATAGATTAAAAGGAGAAAGAACAATGGATCTGGGGAAGAATCCCCATCTCCATCGCCTAACCCTAGAAAAACAGAGTTTGGTGGCTCAAAATCTCATTACAGGAGCACACACCCGTTTAGGACTGCTAAACAATGTATTTATCGGTCCTAAGGTCTTCGAGGTCTCATTTAGGCTTCTCTGAAGAGAAATGGCGAAGTGAGATTTGATGTTGGGCCTTGTGGCTCGTCCTAAGGTCCACCGGGGGTGAGAGTCTTCCAGGACAGGTAAAACATGTGTTTCCCGCGAGTGAGAGTCTTCCGGGACTGGTGAACTGGGTCAACTTATTCTCTATGTATCTATTGATTGCACCGTTGGATCTTTGTGATGTAAAGTGCTATGGAAAGCTGGTTGCCTCCTCTTGACTGTCTCTAAATATGAGCTGGATCGGACGGTGAGAAAGTCTTCATGTAAGGCTGAACTTCTGACAGTCTGACTCTGAGCTAAAAATGTGGATTTCTTCTATTTTGCCATCATATTCCCTAAGTTTTCTGAAAAGAGCCTTGAAACTACAAATACATAGAAATCATAATAAAAGTTCCTAAAACGGATTAAAACATTTGAAATCAATGGTGAAAAATGGTCAAAATCAGGTGTTATCAACTACCTTAGACTTAAGACTTTGTTTGTCCTCAAACAAAACAAGATCAAATCTGGAAAAATATCATTCAACAAAAATGACAGGGAACTCAAAAATATCAGCAACCATACTTCTAGACCTTAATTATGGACAATGCATCAATCAGATCAGGTCTAGAAAATTTTCACCAAAATACAAACATAACTAGTCCGTTAATCCGTCATGCGAAAATCCACACACTTAGAACAAACTTCCAGTCAACTAGCTCTTAACATTCATTAAAGGTTTCAGTGGTTCTCATCAAAAAGATATTAAACAAGGCATTCAAGGTTAGGTATCAAAAAGGCTTTTTAATGGTAAGGCTGAGGTGTTTAGGGTTACTTTTTTCTGGAGAGACAGGACATTATGCAAAACAGCAAG